CAAACCAGGCACTTCAAGGGAGAAGGATGAGACTCTCTGTTCCTTCAAAGATGTACAGCTCCGGAAACCCTATACAGGGTTGCTATGCGTCACTTGGCAGCAGTGGAAAGGGGAATGGGGTGGGTGGGAGGATACGCAGGAGCCCAAATGCTCAGGCCAGGGGTTGGGGGCTGATGAACTGAAGGGACGGGAAGGGAGGTATACAGGGCAAGGCTCAGAACTTTGACCTGGGGACCTGGGTTCTAAGTGGTCCATCTAAAACAGGGGCCTGGAGGAGGAGCAGGTGCGGGGGAGACGCTGAGGCCAGGTGAAAGTGAGCACCCAATGGGAAACATTCAGCTGGAGACTCAGTGCTTGAGTGAACACAAGCTGAGTATGATCCTGGAGCCCTAAATCGGTGATATCCCAAACTTGCACCATTTGAATGTCATCTCCCCAATTTTGCCATACATCCAACACTTATCTATTGAATGCATTTCTTGAAATCAACTCACTGGAAATAATTACTATGCATAAACACATTTATTTCCAAAAAGAAACATCATTTCATTCCCAAAAGTGGAAAAATAGTCAACTGTCATAGATAGAATGCCATAGCGCAAGAAACTCAGTGAGCCAGTAAAAATCATGCAATGGCACAAGAGCATCAGGTGAACGGGTGTTGGGGAATAGGTTATTTACCAGGTGTCATGTGATCATTTAAAGGGGAAAAGCCACCTGTGCAGTGGAGAGACTGGGCAGCCATTTCAACTGAAGGATCAAACTCAGCATCACTGATCACAGTGAAGACACAGTGTCGTCAACCCAACATTCTTCACCTACATGCATTGCAGAGCCTGAATCTGACCATAAAGAAACAATTCCAGGATGCAGGACGGTCTACAGTACACTGGCCCTGTACTCTTTAAAAAGCCAACATCAGGACAAAACAAAGAAGGTGAAGGGGACAGTGTGAGTGCCTTGGTGCTGCCACAACAGAAATACCACAAGTGGGGGAGCATTACCCAACAGAAATTTATTCTCTCACAGTTTAGGAATAGAAAAGTCCGAATTGAGAATACCGGCTCCGGAGAAAGGGCCTTGTTTCCTTTCCACATCTGTAGGCCCAGCATTCCTTGGTGATCTCCATATGTTTTGACATGAACTGTCCCCTGCATCTTGGAGTTTCATGGTACAGGGACTCCAGGTCCACTGCGAGTTCTTGTTGGCGGCAGTCCCTCTTCTCTTGTAAAATAAAGTGTTACATGCCACGCCTTTGATAATCTCCCTTATACTGGGTCAGGGTAGCTGGTAGTGTAGTGGTTAGGAATCGGGCTGCGAACCGCAAGGTCAGCAGTTTGAAACTACCAGCTGCTCTGCAGGAGAAAGATGAGGCTTTTTGCTCCCGTAAAGATTTACAGCCTTGGAAACCCTATTCAGGGTCGCTATGGGTTGGAATCGACTCAAAGGAACTTAACAACAACAACATAGCAAAAGGAGTCCTGGTGTGGCGCTGTGGGTTAATGTGCCAGACTGCAAAGCCATTTGAACTGCAAGGTCAGCAGTTCAAGCTCACTAGCTGCTCCTCAGAAACCCTATACAGGGTCGCTATGGGTCGGAACCGACTCGACAGCATTTCACAAGGTATTTTTGCTGTTAAAGGCCCTGAGTTTGTTATGACCCCTGGTAGTGGTGGTTGTGTGCTGTCGAATCGGTTTTGACTCATAGCTACCCTGTATAGGGTTTCCAAGGCTATAAATCTTTACAGGAGCAGAAAGCCTCATCTTTCTCACATGGAACAGCAGGTATTTTTGAACTGTTGACCTTAAGGTTAGCAGCCCGATTCATAACCACTATACTACCAGAGGTCTTTGATGGGATTACGGATGGTATGTTGTTGTTAAATACTGCTGAGTTGGTTATGATTCATAGAGACCCTGGTTAGGGTTTGCAAAGAGTGGCTGGTGGGTTTGAACTTTGGACCTTGTGGTTAACAGCCCAGTATGTAACCCACTGTGCTATCAGGGTCTTAATTTTAAATTGTTGTTGTTATGTGCATTTGAGTTGTTTCTGACTCATAGTGACCATGTATAGGGTTTCCAAGAAGTTACTGGTGGATTTGAACTGCTGATAAGCACTGGACTGTGAACTATAAGGTCTATAGTTCAAGCTGCCAACCACTCTGCAGGAAAAGATGAGGCTTTCTGCTCTCACAAAGATTAAGAGGGAAAAAAATCCCTGGAAACCCTATACAGATTAGACAATAAAATTTATTTGGGGGAAAATTAGTACAACTTGACTTTGGACCATGTATTAGAAAATGTGACTAGAAATATTCGAGGAAATAAACAGAATTTTTGTGCTCTGCTTGACTCTTCCCAGAAAGGCCTTATGGTACGGCTGCCCCGCCTGCCCCGGCTTTGGATGAACATTAGTTCAGAGATGGAGTCCTGCAATTGCCCGCCAATTCCTGTGTTGCACATCACTGTTTGCATCTGTCTTCACATTTACTGGCACCCCAAAACAAGTGCCAAACAACAACAAAACCCCATGTTCCGCCTGACTGGTGGCCACATTGGTCACTGATAAGGGGAAGTGAGGGAAAAACAGCAATGAAGCTGTGAGCTAAGTCCTACCAGGTTCAATAGACTCCT